TTTTTTTCTTCATGTATTGTTTATTTCCAAGATAACCTGCATGCTCTATTAGTTCAGTAGAGTAAGATCCATTTTTCAGAGATTGAGCTTCTTAAAATGCTCTTAGCATCTATTTCATGGATAAACTTATACATCCTCATTTCTTATGCAGTTGGTGTCCTAGTATAAAAAGAAAGGCGAAGCAAATCCAGACCCCAAGAATACAGTCATCATAATCAGTAACTGCCACTTGTTTTCCTCAGAAAATGACAAATTCTTCCCTGGACCTTCTTCAAAGCTCCTTTGGACCACAGGTGGTAAACCTTCAGATGCTCTGTCCCAACATAGCACTGTTGGAGGATCTGTGAAGCTCAGAGACTGACCACAGAAGACCAGAGGTGTTATTTTGTGTTGCAACTATTTACCTCCAAGAAGTCATCATTCTTCTTCTTTTTTTAATCAGTTATTGGGGGCTCTTACAGATCTTACAGCAATCATAATTCAACTGTATCAAACACACTTGTACAAATGTCCATCATTTCCAAAACATTTTCTTTCTACTTGAGCCCTTGGTATCGGCTCATTTTTCCCCTCCCTCCCCAACCCTCCTACCCTTGTGAATCCTTGATCAATTACATATTATTATTATTTCATATCTTAGACCGTCCATTGTCTCCCTTCACCCACATTTCTATTATTTAGCCCTCTCAGGGTGGGAGTGATGGTTATATATCCAACCTTGTGATCAGTTCCCCCTTTCTCCCCATAACCTCCCTTCCCCTAAAGCAACAATCCTCAACCTCTGTGGGTCGCGACCCCTTTGGAGGGCGAATGACCCTTTCACAGGAGTTGCCTGATTCCTAACAATAGCAAAATGACAGTTATGAAGTAGCAACGAAAATAATTTTTTGTTTGTGGGGGGGGGGATCACCACAGCATGAGGAACTGTATGAAAGGGGCCAGGCATTAGGAAGGTTGAGAACCACTGCCCTAAAGTCAGCATTCTTGCAGAATTCTTGTGTCGATCTCCAGCATCCTTTATACTACTGAGGCCAAAATGTCCCACGACTGATCTTTTTTTTTTTGTTTCCCAAAGTTTGCATTCTAATCACTAGTAATCATCAGTGCATCATGATTGAATATTGTATCATTTTCAAACTAGAAGTTGGTAAAAGTCTACCATTTCTTTGTCTTTGGCTGTAGTGTTTGGTACATAAATTTGAATAATAGGCACTTTAACTGGTATTCCGTGTAGGTGTGTGGATATTAAACTATCACTGACAGCATTGTACTGCAGAATAGATCTTGAAATGTTCTTTTGACAATGAATGTGATGCCTTTCCTCTTCAATTTGTTATTTCCCTGCATAGTAGAGCATATGCTTGTCTGATCCACAGTGGCCAATATGAGTCCATTTTAGCTCTCTGGTGTCTAGTATATCAATTACTATGTGCTTTACTTCATTTTTGACAACTTCCAATTTTCCTAGGTTCATACTCCATGTTCCAATTATTAATGGACATCTGGAGCTATTCTCATTTTGAACCATGCCACATCAGCAAATCCTGGAAGCTTTATCTACATCATCACGGGTGACTACATTGAAGGGCCACTTCTAGTTGGAGTGCCTTCTCGCTTGAGGGGCCCACCTCCAGCACTGTCAGATTCTCTTCTGCCATCTCTAAGGCTTTCACTTGTGACGTAGCTTCCAGCTTGTCTTCTAAGAGACAAGCCCCCACAGTGTGATAGAATGACAGCTGATGAAGCCCTTAGACTGATGAAAACAAGCATATGCCCTTTGATCCAGTAGTTTCACTCTTGGGAACTTATCCATAGAAAGGAAAGGGCCTCTGTTGAAAGATATATGAATAAAAATAACCTATTTCATCATTTTGCATGAAAAAAAATGGGGAATAAAGTGCCATACATATTCATTTATAAGCCAAGTTTTGCAGCACATTTTTTATACAGTTTTTGTGGTAAAATTAGGTGCCTTGGCTGATAGTCGGATCTGCTTATACTCGAGTATATACGGTAAATGCCCATCATTAGGAGGTGGTTAAATAAATTAACGCACATCTTAGAAGGGTATGCACGAAGTAGTGTTGAATGGGAAAAGCAAGATAGAAGAAAGTATGCACAGTATCTCATTGCTCTAAAAAGAGCATCCTTAGTTATGCATGTATATTAGTATAATTAAATTAGGGCGGGGCAAAATATAGGAGGAATCATTAGGTTGTTAACATGGACCATCTGTACAAGGAAATGGATGAATGTGGGTAGAGAATAAAAGTACATGAGAAAACGGGTGCAAAACTACATTAAAGAAGAAAACACCCTGTAATTATAGTGTTCTTGTGCATTGCTAGGAGATTATGTAGGCATACCTCATTTGATTCATGACACCGTGGTGCTTTACAGATTGAAAGAGGTGGCAACCCTGTGTTGAACAAGTCTTTTGGATCATTTGCCTCCAGCAACATACACTTGCTTTGTGTCTCTTTGTCAAATTTTGATAATTCTCCTAATATTGCAGACTTTCGTAGTTTTATTACAAAGTTAACAGACTATAGTAAAGTATAAACATAACTTTAGTCTGTACTAGGAAACAAAAAAATTTGTGTGACTTAACCGTGATAATCACTTTATTGAGGTGGTCTGGAGCTCAACCTGTATTCGTGGTGTGCCTGTATGTAGTGTGTACATACACACTGTGTATACTGTTTCTGTACTCTATATGATGATGTTTAATAAAAAGGCCAAGGGAAAATCATGGTGTGAAAAGTTGTCTATAGATGAAGATGACTCTCTGTCAGAGTTTTATTTTTTCCCCCTTCCGTGTTTGAAAGTGCTTATTTCAGGGGAGCACCAGTACATTTTAGGGTAATTCCTTATAAATTCTGAGGGAACTTTGTTTTTCTTATGCACCTGCCTTTTGAATTTTAGATATCTTATTAGATCCTGCCCTTTCCCCTGCCTTTTGGCTTACTGCTGATCCATACCCCTTAAGTTCCCATTTCCCTCTTGAGCAGAGGGAGAAGAGAACAGGAAATTCCATTTCAGAGTCCAGAGAACTATGAAAATTGAATGCAATCAGGACATGATGGGAAGAGGAGGGGGAGAAAAACAGGTACTCTCAGACCAGGCAGTTAATGACTTGACTTCTCAGTATATGTGCTACCATAGCAAGCACATCTTGACTTTTCATATTAAGAAGTTGTATCCTCATTCTCTAGGCTTATGATTCTCCAACACCATCTGTTTTAAATAACAGTGGTGTTTGGTGAGTACAGAAAGGTGTGCCAGGATAATGTTAAACAAGTGTAATCTCTTTCCAGTGTGAGGGAAAATTAACTTGATAGAACTTCCTACCAGTAAAATGAATTGTACACTTGTGTTCTGCTGAAACTTTGCTTGCTGGGCAAACAGATTTCAGAACCAAAGAACAACTAGGAAATGGAAGTTAGCAGAATTGGAAGGAAGTAACCATTCTTGAATCTAAGGATATATGTATTTTTGTAGCTGTACATATTTATTTTACAGTCCTAGAGAGAGGATTTATGCAGCTAAAACTCTTTATTGGTATGGCAGATTTAGATATTTCCTGGAGAATGTGTAGGTTAGGAAGAGGGTAGGGGGTAGTACATGCCATGGTTGAGAGCACGGTCCCTAAGAGAGGAAGGAACCAGGAGGCAAAGGACATTTATGGAGGTCTAAATATAGGCATGTACATATGTAAATAAATATATAGCAAGAGGGGAATGGAACTATGTACTCATGTCTATAGGTTAAGAATTAAGGTTGCATATGGACATTGGGCCTTGACTCAGGTACTCACTCCCTCAACACAAGAACACTTGTTCTAACAATCCAGCATTCTGTGATGCTCACCTTCCCTACACGATCACTGAAGACAAAATGGGTACATAAGCAAATGTGGTGAAGAAAGCTGATGGTGCCCAGCTATCGAAAACTATAGCACCTGGGGTCTTAAAGGCTTGAAGATAAACAAGTGGCCATCTAGCTGAGAAGCAACAAAGCTCACATGGAAGAAGCGCACCAGCCTGTGTGATCATGAGGTATCGATGGGATCAGGTAACAGGCATCTAAGACCCAGAGTAAAATCGTACCCAAGGTGAATGGGGGGAAAGGTCATGGAGTGGAGACCCAATGCCCCTCTGTGGACAATTGGACATCCCCTCACAGAGGGGTCACAAGGAAGAGATGAGCCAGTCAGGGTGCAGTATAGCACTGATGAAACACAACTTTTCTGTAGTTCTTTGGTGCGCTCTTACCCCCACTGTCATCTCAGTTCTACCTGACAAATCGGATTAGACCAGAACATGCACACTGCTACAGATAAGAACCCACAACACAGGGAATCCAGGATAGATAGAGCCCCCAGGGCCAACAATGAGAGTAGAGAAACCAGGAGGATTAGGGGAGGGGTGGGGGGAGAAAGGTGGGAATCAATCACAAGGATTAACCTAGAACCCCCTTTCCTGGGGACAAACAACAGAAAAAAGGGTGATGGGCGACGGAAGATGATATAAGATATGAAAGTAGTAGTCTGGCTTATCAAGGGTTCGTGAGGAAGGGGGAGGAAATGGGGAGCTGATATCAGGTGCTCAAGAGGGAAGAGTGCTTTGAAAATGATAATGGCAGCGTATGTACAAATGTGCTTGACACACTGGATGAATGTATGGATTGTGACGAGATGTAAGAGCCCCCAATAAAAGTATTTAAGGAAAAAAAAAAACACAGTCCCTGAAGTACAACAGGTAAGGGTTCAAAACACAGATACCTCATTAGAGTGCTGGACTTCAGAGAAGAATGTGGAATAGGGATAACATGAACGGCTCATAGGGTTATTTTGAAGACTATGAATATATATTTGAAGGCAATACAAGCTAAAATGTCTTAACTTGCCACGTAACGTGGAAATACATTATACTTTTGTTAACAGCATCATTCAACATGTGACTGTGTTGATGTTCATCTTTTCAGGTGCCGTTTGGATCGTACTTTAGTGGCACAATGTACTCTGAGTGGAGGTCGCTCCATTTGGTGATTCAGAATGATCAGGGCCATACCAGTGTGCTGCACAGCTATCCTGAGAGTGTTGGGCGAGAGGTGGCAAACGCAGTGGTCCGTCCCCTTGGGCAGGCCTTAGGGACCCCTTCAGTGGCTGGTAGTGAGTGTTTGCTAAAGACCGACAAAGAAGTAAGTGTTTCTTCACTTAATTCTATTACGCAAAAATATAAATTCTTGTAGGACAGCCCATGCTACCCTCAGGGAATGAATAGGTGCATTTTTGCTGGGAAAAAAGAGCCTTGCCATAATTTCCTTGCCCCTTTTTGTAAGTAATGCAGTTTTCACTTTTCCTAAAACGGCTTCTTAATGAGCCCCTGCAATTACCCTGGGTTCTTTGAGAAAATCTATCAAGATTACCCCCTTTGCAATACCAAAACACAGTCACCATCGCCTGAGCTTACCTCCAGCCCTCAATTTAATTGGCCCCGCATAATCCCTCAGAAACCACTGTTTGGATTGATTTGGTTTTTTTTAAGGTACTCTAATGAGACTGTGATCAATGCATTACTGAAAGAACTTGTCTGCAGCCATCCACTGATCACAGAGTCATGTTTAAATTCATTTTAAATGCATTTTGTTTGGAGTAAATCGTGCAAATACTTAAAAGTAGCAATATTTTTTTACTTACTTTCTTGTAAGACTGAGGTTGGTTGCTGGCGAGGCAGTTTGTTTATATTCCCTAGGCTCTGGGCTGCTGAAGGCGAAGCTTCTCTTTCTGAGGAGTGGTTTCCTCTCTTTAGAGTACTTGAGCTGAGTGCTTTCACTGGGACCAACCAGGACCTAGCACATTTTTCACTCTCCGTAGTCCCTTGCCTTCTGGGAAGAGATGGCACTTGAAGAGAGAGGTGCTCTGGTGCACCCTTGGTTTATTCTCCTTTCTCTCAAAAGGATTTATCAAAACAGTCCTTGAATTCAGTATCCTGTGTAATTATACACTTCAGTTACCCTATGCAGGCACCACTGTACATCTCTCCTCTTTTGTTTTTAAAATATCAGATAACTAGAATCTATATTCAAAAACCAAGCTCATTGCCATCAAGTCGATTTGACTCAGTGACCCTATAAGACCAGGGTAGAATTGGCCCTACAAGTTTCTGAGACTGTAACTTTACGTGAGCAGAAAACCTTGTCTTTCTCTTCAGGAGTGGCTGGTGGTTTCGAACTGCTGACCTCGAGGTTAGCCCAACGTGTAACCACTACACCACCAGGGTGCCTTTCCACTCTACAATGTCTGGGAATATATTTTCATACTTTACCACAAATTTGGAGTCTTTCTTCTCTCATAGCCTCTTACCTATCTTTCATTGACTATAACCTCAGCCCTTAGGATGTGATTCAGACGAATCTAAAGGCTGGCACTCATTTGCAACTAGGCACCTTGTTAAGCTCATATCCTGCTTTAGTGCCTTCTCCTCTGTACTTTTCCCTTCTTTCCACTCTAAGTATTATTTTCCTTGGCAGAGACTAAGTGAGAGTTGAATGGTTCAGTTTTCTCTTTATTATGTGTTAATTCCATATAATCTGGTGATGGGATTGGATTGAATTTATGTATATGATTTCTTTTTTTTTTTTAATGATTTCTTAATGACACATGTCAATGTGCAAATTAAGTGGGGAGTAGCTCTGAACATTTTTACATTCTAAAATCTTCTGTTTCTGTCTTAAAAAACTCACTTCACTGCCCCTGAATCAATTTTGACTCTTTCCAACCCTATCGGACCGGGTAGAACTGCCCCTGTGCGTTTCCTAGAGTCTAACTCTTTATGGGAGTAGAAAGCCTCATCTTTCTCCTGAGGAATGGCTGGTGATTTTGAACTGCTAACCTAAAAGATCAAGTTACCTTGTATTTACTTCTTGTTTCACAGAATAAGCAATCTGTAAAGCATAAAAGTCAACATGGGCTTGATATTTTAAAATAATGGATTTTTTTCCTTAAACCTCTTAATTGAAAAATGTTATTTGAATATCTCTGATAACATAGAAAGTGCATTCAGTAGAATTAATGATGCCTTATACATGGAGATCAAAATGTCAATTTGAGATTTTTAGGAATAAGAGAGGTATTTTAAGGCAATCTAGAATATAGAAAGAGATATATGATAATTCTGTATGTCTTCTTTTGTTTAGGTAAAATGGACTATGGAAGTAATTTGTTATGGACTGACCCTTCCATTGGATGGAGAAACTGTAAAATACTGTGTTGATGTGTATACAGAATGGATTATGGCTTTAGTGTTGCCGAAAGATTCTATTCCGTTACCGGTTGTTAAAGAGCCTAATCTGTATGTCCAAAGTATACTGAAGCACCTGCAAAATCTTTTTGTACCAAGGTAAGCTATACCAGAATATCTAGCCTGTTGTTAGGCTCATCACACAGTGGTTGTGGACCTTTTGTATAGTATTGGAGCTGATTTCATTTTCCGTTTTTGAAACAGTGACTTTTCTTTACTCATCCAATTAAACAGTGTATTAGTAAGAGATAAGAGAGATGGGTTTATATAATATTTGCCTGACTAGGAATTTGTATCAGGTATATGCTTACTTCACTTTTTTTTTTTGCAGGGGGTGGAGTTGCTATGAGTGTTAATGGATAAAACTGATAGTTAAATCATGTGTTCACTTTAATAGCTTTTGGCTTTGCTTTTAAGACCTGATAGCTGTGACCTTTCCTCTTTCCACTTAGGAAGCTCAAAGAAATGAAACATACTTTTGCCTCTCATAATTCTTTTTTCCATTTAATATAAAGGAAACGCAGCCTTTTACCTTGGATCTTTTTTATCATTTTATTGAGGGCTCTTAACAGCTCTTATAGCAATCCATACATCCATTGGGTCAAGCACATTTGTACATTTGTTGCCATCATCCTTTTCAAAACATTTTCTTTCTACTGGAGCCCTTGGTATCAGTTCCTCATTTTTTCTGTCCCTCTCCCCACCCTCCCACCCTCATCATGATCCCTTGATAAATTATAATTATTTTCATGTCTTACACCATCTGCTGTCTCCCTTCACCCATGTTTCTGTTGTTGGTTACCATGGGTGGGTGGGTGGGGGGGGGTTATGTTGATCATTGTGATTGGTTCCCCCTTCCTCCCCATACCTTCTCCCTACCCTCCTGGTATTGTTACTTCCATTACTGTTCCTGGAGGGGTTATCTGTCCTAGATTCTATGTGTCAAGAGCTCTTACCTATACCAGTGTACGTGCTCTGGTCTAGCCGGATTTGTAAGGTAGAATTGGGATCATGATAGTGGGAGTGAGGAAACATTAAAGAACTAGAGGAATGTTGTATGTTTTGTCGGTGCTACACTGCACCCTGGCTGGCTCATCCCTTCCTTCCTTTGGGTCTCCACTCCTCCACTCCGTGCTCCCTTGTTCGCATCCCTTGGATCTTTTTTATTATGACAGAACGAAGACGTTGAAATAAGCAGACTTGAAATTATACGAACAAATTTGTAAGAGGCCAAAATACTACTCTGAAAAGTTTGTGATTGGTCTTTCCCTATCTTCAGAGGCAAAGCCCGTAAACATCATGATATAGGCTTTCTACTTTACTTGTCCTTAAAACACATTTCTGATTCTAAAATAATTATATATTGTAAAGAATTTGGGGAGCTGTAGAAAAGTGGAGAAAGAAGCACTAGCTTTCTATCCATCTGGGAGGATTTCCTATAAGAAAACTTTTTGGCTATCTTTTATGTCTCTGAAAAGGTCGATGGCTTATCTCATATTGGAAAGTTCCAGTTTGAGCTGTCTCACTATGAGAGACTTTGACATCAGCCCTATACCTTTTGGTTTTTAAAACTTATAAGGAAAATTACTCTGAAAATTCTGAACTTAAAACAGACAATAAGGAGCCCTGGTGACCCCACGGTTAAAGTACTTTGTTAGCCACTCCACGAGTGACAAATGTGGCAGTCTGCTTCAAAAACCCTGTAGGCTAGTGTGTTAGTCTGGGTAGACTAGAGAAACAAACTCATGGAGACTCGTGTATAAGAAAGAGCTTTATATACAAGATCAATTGAATATTGAGAAAACATCTCAGCCCAGTCCAAATCAAGTCAATAAATCTGGTATTAGCTTATATGTCTGATACCAATTTATAAAGTCCTCTTCAGACTCACAAAATAATGCAATGACATGCAATAACACTGAATGCAGGAAGATCACAGGCCAGTAGGTGCAAAGTCTGTGGATCCAGTGATGGTAGAAGCATCTCAGTGCTGGCAGGGATGGTCTCCCCATGGTTCCTCCAGCTCCCAGGGCATGGGCTATATCAGCGTAGCGCCATGTGTCTTGTCAATAGAGTGTCTCTCAGGGCATGAGCGAGTGTCCCTGCCTCCAGTGAGACTTGCAAGGTCGAATTCGAGTCATGGTAGTGGGAGCGGGGAGGAAACATTTAGGAACTAGAGGAAAGTTGTATTTTTCATCGTTGTTACATCGCACTGGGCCTTCATTCTTAATCCTCAGATTGACAACAGATTATGTAACTACCACAGCTAGTGAGAGTCAGAACCCCACCCCGACCCCCACCCCTGGCAATTAATACTCTGCTTTATAGGGTCACTAGGAGTCCGAATCAATTCAATGGTGGTGAGTTAGTTAGTTAGTTAGTTAGTTTGTTCAGTGAAATGCCTGCTGTAATCTGACCCCTAATCAGATTAAACTAAAATCAAACCCATTGCTATCAAGTTGGTTCCAACTCATGGAGACTCAGTGACAGAGTGAAATTGTCCTAAAGGGTTTCCAAAGCTGTAACTCTTTACAGGCGCAGATAGTCATATCTTTCTCTAATGGACACCTGGTGGCATAGAACCACCACCGACCTTTTGGTTGGTAGCTGTGCCACCAGGGGCTCCTATTCTAACTGGGTTAGCCGATGCTAACTCTGCATGTATAAGCCACACTAGTTAAACATTCCCTGAAGTCCTTTTGAAAGTTTTGTCCCATCATCATCTTTTTTCCACCTCCTCCTCCTGACCGTCTTAGATGGCCACAGACTTAATCTTGTTGGCGCATCTTACCCTCGACTGTGCCTTCTAAGGAATAGCCTTTCTAGGTCCTTGGGTTGTGGAAATAGTTTATACTCAGCTACCAATCATTTGATTGTTCACTCGTGGTTCAGACCCATCCATTGACACTGGAAGACAGACCTGGTGATGTCGTTTTGTAAAGATTATCATCAAGCCCAAGAAATGTATGTTATTAGCGGTTCCCAAGAAAAAGCATTTTTATTAAAAAAATTCAGTTGATGTTAGAGGGTAAGCCAAAAGGCAATGCTACTAGGGTATCAATTAATACATGCATGAGTTTATTCCAAGAAAAATGTTTGAAGCTATCTGTGATCAGTGAATGGCTATAGTAATGTGTTCTCTGTAATACACTCGTCTTATTAGAGTGCCTTCAAAGGAACAGACCAGTCAAAACTGGTTTCTGAGGAGATAAGCTGTACCAGTTATATTCAAGGCAGAGAGGTAACCTCATAGTTTATAGCACCTGTTTTGGGGGGCTCCCAAAGTGGCCATCTCGATAGATTTTTCTGGGAGGATACAGAACAATCACAGGGTTTTAGTAGGAAGAAGTTTAAGAAAATTGAAAACTGCGCTGGTGAGTAAAAGGCCAGGACAATTGGTCCAAGGCATTCTCTTCTATCACGACAATGCACCAGCTCGTACTTCAGGGCTACAAAGGCTATCCTATAGGAATTTCCTTGAGAAATCCTACACCATCCTGGTCTTATCCCTTCAGACTGCTTTTTGTTGCCCAAACTCAAAAAGCATTGAAGGAACACGATTTGAGCTCATTAAGGATGGCAAAAGTGCCATTTTGGCATGGTGTCAATTGAAGAGGTCAGAAGTCTTTGAAGGAAGGGTTTAGGGAGAAGGAAATATCACCTTCAGCAATGTGTGTACATAACTGGAGGATATGTTGAGAAATAATAGCATAATTTCATAATTTATCTTCCTAATATATATTTAACAAAATTATATTTATTTAATAAACATTAAATTAAAACATTCATTTAATATATATGAACAAGAAATCCCTGTGGAGCTCGCTAAGATAGGGGGTCATCATGGGTTGGGAGGTGACTTGAAGGCACCTCACAACATCAGCCACAAGGAGAATCCTTGCCTGATCACTCAAACCCCTAATGTTTATGCTTTTACTGAACCTGCGTGATACTTCCTGCATTACTCCCATGTTTCTCCTCTGTTTTATTGCTTATCTTTGAAATTATGTGTGTCTCTGCTCCCCGCAGGGTCTGAGTTGCATGTATTTCAGGTTTCCCCAGTACCTGCAGTGCTGTAGTACCTGAGTTTGAATTAAATGCTAGCAGCTTGTGATGCTACTAGCCCTATTCCCACTTTCCACGTGGACCACCTGATAACTATAAGCTGCAATTCACACTAAATACAATATATATATATAAAATATAATTTGAAAATTGATTTTGTTGATAAGCTTTCCTTAGGGGTGGGGGGAATGGGCTTATAGACTAGAGAGGGTTTGAAAACTGATGAAAACTGATGTTCTAGGACATTTTGGGAACCTTTGGAAGTGTTCTTTTGGGTTAAGTTGCCTTTTTCACTAGAGTAGCAGCAGCAAGAGCTTCTGTCTGGGGCAGTCTTCTGGGGAAATTGCTGATAGTGCATTCCACTGGGCTTGTAGATAGTATGGCCCATTGGGCTTATGCCTTTAGCAGACATTACAGGGTCTTGTGAGCACCATGAAATCACCTTGCAGAATTCTTCTGAAAGTGTGTTTTTAAACATTATCAATGAACAAAAGGGCCATTCTGCTTCCATGTGAGCAGCAGGAGTGGTCATCCCATCAGCAGAAAGCTATTGCATGTTCTATGTTACATGCCCGCCTCCTAGACAAAACCTAGAGGTAAAACATTCATTTAATATATACTTAACAAAATTGCTATTATTTTGTTTTGACCTACCCTAATACTTAGCAGAGGGTTATAAACCATTCCAGCATTCCTGCTTTCCCAATCTCTTGCCAGCCTCTCCTACGAGTGGTAGATTGAGGTCCCAGAATCCTGACTGTCCAGTGGGAAGAAGTAGCTTTAAACTGAAGACGGTGTCTTTGGATCTGTCTCCTGACACTGTTCGGGAGTTTCATTGGGATCACCGCTCACTGCATCCCTAGGTTGTTTGTCTTTAAGCTGTTGCCAGCTTTCTTCTAGCCTTATCAGTGATGTGTGTCTGTCTGCTTCAGGCAGGAACAGGGCTCCAATCAAATCCGACTATGCTTACAAGTCCTGCGAGCCATCCAGAAACTAGCCCATGAGTCATCCCTCATGGCCCGAGAGACATGGGAAGTCTTACTCTTGTTTCTTCTGCAGATTAATGACATTCTTCTGGCCCCACCAACTATTCAAGGTTTGTTTACTTTTGTTCTCATTTACTTCTGAGCTCAACACAGTGCACTTTTAAACTCAGTGACCGATAGACTTATTGAGGATTTACATTTTGATGTGACAGTTGACAAAACAACATTAGCTGTTCTTAGAATGGAAACCCTCAAAGGTACAATATGATTTTAGCACTGATGAAATTACTGTACCTTCTGTTGGTGATTTTTTTTTTTTAAATCATTTTATTGGGGGGAGGCTGTAACTCTTTACAGGAGGAGAAAGCTGGCCAGTGGTTTTGAACTGCTAACCTTGCAGTTTGCAGCTCAGTAAGTAACCACTACACCACCAGGGCTCCCCGGTAATTTTTTTAACATAGGGAGAGACTCAGTAAATCGGTGCACATATGATAATTACAGGAGCAGTAGCATATTTTGTGTGTTAGGTTAGAGCCTGTGTAACAATTAAATTAGAACCTGATTACAAAATAGTTATGAAAGTAGAATCTGAAAACTTGATAGCTACATACTTGTTTTACTCAGCAAATGAATCCTCCAAAGCCTTAAAATGTCTTCTTTGAAAGTGTGACGAAATGCATTTATTAGCTAGCTGTAAAGCCTCCAGTTATATGAAACTGTACAGTGGATTTCAGAAGTCCTGGTTTATATTATTTTAGCAAGTGTACACAAGATGTAACTTGATATTCTGGTTCCAGGTTCCCTTGTTGCTGATTCATTTATGTTTCCTCTGCACTAACATATGTGAATGCGCTTATTCTTTCAGACTGATGTAGTGTCCAGGGAAACACTTAAAAGATTTGTTGGCATTTTAGTGTCGGAAGAGCCCCCAGAATAGAAATACCCTGTCTGGTGTTCCTAAGAGCTGTCAGTATTGATGCATCAGCTCTCTCCTGCATACTTCCTAGGCAGTCACTTCTTCCTTTTATCGGGCTTTTGTTGAAACTTTGTTTTCACTCATTTGAAATATGCATCCCGATTACTACCTACCAATCCTAGCTCTGCATCTGGGAGACGTGGAGTAAGATGACTGCTGTTCTCCCTAGTTCCGGGCCTCAGAACCGGAACAGCCCATTTTCACGGTTGAGGTTCTTGCCCAGCATGTCCTTTTGCTCCCTTCTTTACTTCTCCCCTTGAAGGGCGGCTTTCAAACACCTGAAACAGTTTTGTAGCAAACTTTAGAGGTAGAAAGACCTGGGTACTATTCTGATTCTTTCACTTACTGGCTGCCTGAACTTGGACGGACAACTTACTCAAACATGTCGATTTGGTTTTATACTCTTCAGAAGGGGCATAATTGATAATTGGTAGTACTATCAGTATCTATCTTTGCAGATCAGTGTGAGGATTATGTGAGGTCATGGGTATGAACTATCAGCACAGAAACGGACTCCTAGTTGGCACTAATTGGAGTCACACTAATTGGAGTCACTCATTCTTTTCCCTTCTCCACCCTTGCTCTGGATATTAACATTTTCAGAGAGGAACAGCATAACTTAAACACTTAAAAGTAGTAATAATTTGATTATGTATCCGTAGTTTTCTTTATAAGAGCTCTTAAGCACAGTTTTTCATTTTTGCTATTTTTCCAATCATTTTATTGATATAAAATTCACGTTTCCATAGTTAAGTCACTTTTAAGAAGAATTATATATACATCACAATCAATTCTAGTGTACTCTCCCCTCTCCCATATTCATTATTTGCCCCCTAATTTCCCTCACACACACACCCCCATCCCTTTCTGAATAAGCCGTTACACTAGTTTTTGTCTATGCATCTACTCCTTCTGTGTTTCATAAACTGGGAAACATAAAAGAAACAATACAAAGCAGAAAGAAAAAATAAAGTAAAGAGAGACCACCAGCAATATTAAAATAAACCAGAGAGAGAATTTCTGTCATGGAACAAATGAGAAATCTTTAAACCTAGGACAAATTCAGGATGGGTCAAGAGGGAGGTCATCTGACTAGGTATCATATTATACCATAATTCCTTCCACTCAATTTTACAATTAAATGGGTATTTGAAAGTTAAAACTTAAGTTAAAGTTGTTTTCCTAAAAAAAAATTTTTTTTTAAGGTTGTTTTCCTGTCTTGACCAATTCTCCCAAGTTAATTTAGGTTCAGTTTTTAATATAAGTGTGCCAAAGATATGTTTTCTCTTCATTTCGCCAGGTGGCATTGCTGAGAATCTAGCAGAGAAGTTGATTGGTGTTCTCTTTGAGGTTTGGTTACTAGCTTGTACTCGGTGCTTCCCCACACCTCCTTACTGGAAAACAGCCAAGGAAATGGTGGCTAACTGGAGGCATCATCCGGCGGTGGTGGAGCAGTGGAGCAAGGTCATCTGTGCACTCACTTCAAGGTCAGTTATCATCCTTGACTTGCTTCCCTTTGTCCATCTCACTGTGGTAGTTTTCCCCTTGTTCTGTGCCTTCCTAGGATTCGTGGAATACATTGAAAAAAGCTAGGGTCTGTTATTGCTGTACTTTAGAAATCATATAGGGAACCCTGGTGATGTAATGGTTATGCATTGGGCTGTGATCCATGTGGTCAGCAGTTCAAAACCGCTAGCAGCTCTGAGGGGAAAAGACTGGGCTTTCTACTCCCATAAACAGTTACATCTCGGAAACCCACAGAGGATCACTAGGAGTCACCATTGACTGAATGGTGATGAGTTTGGTTTCAGAGTTAAAGATCAGAGTCGGAACACTCTTTTATAGCTGTTTGGCCAGTGCCTGTCTAATCCAAAACCGTTCAGAATGTCTTTGAGAAGCAGGTAAATTCTATATCCTATATCCTTCCCTCCCCCAAATCCTTCTCTTACTCTGATTATTAAAATATTCATGTTTATTATTCAAAAACAACTAGCAGCACAGAAAGATATATACAGAAATTCTATTTATGTTTACATAAATTTTTTTTTAAATGGAACCAAACTGTATATGCTACTTTATAATCAAATTAGGCAGTTTTTATAGTAATTGTACTTTTTAAAAACCATTTATATGTAACGCCACCAATACACATTGCAAATAAACTGTTAGGTTTTGTTGTTGTTGTTGTTGTTGTTGTTTTAGGTTTTAGTATCACTTTGATACTAAATATTTCAATATATATAGCAATAAAAGATGAGGATTTTCTCTTCAATATAATTGCAATATTATTACCAATTCTAAAACAAAGGTGACAGTTCCTTAATATTAATTATCTCGCTATGCTCAGATTTTCCCGAATATCTCAGATTAAAAGAAAAAATTATAGGGGAGAGTGGGGAGGGGTGGGGGGGGGATAAGGAGCTGATGCCAGGGCCTTAGTGGAGAGCAAATGTTTTGAGAATGATGAGGGTAACGAATGTACAAATGTGCTTTACACAATTGATGTATGTATGGATTGTGATGAGTTGTATGAGCCCCCAATATGATTAAAAAGAAAAAATTACAGTTGATACTACTGAATCAGAGTGTAGAAAAATTCATACATTACATTTAATTACAAGTTTCTTAAGTCTATTTTAATCGATGAGCTCCCACTCTCAAATCTTTGCATTTTTCTGTTGAAGAAGCAGGGATATTTGCCCTAGGAGTAAGTCTTCTATATCCTGTATTTTTCTAATTATGTTCTTACATAGTATTTGTCATGTTCCTCTGTTCTTTGTCAACTCTATTAGATGATCCTAAGGGCAGAGTAGAATTGCCCCTTTGGGTTTCTGAGTCAGTGAATCTTTACAGCAACAGAGAGCCTCATCTTTCTCTTCCGAGTGGCTGGTGATTTCAAACTGCTGACCTTGTCGTTACCAGCCTAGTGCAGAACCCATTATGCCACCAAGGCTTCTTGCTATGACATAGGTTTGAGTTGGTAGTGGTGGTGGGGTGTGTGACTGGGAGGGCATGAATACTTTATATCTTTTGTTTTAGGTGGTATTGTGTCTCAGAAGGTAGATTGTTTTTATTTTCAGTCAGTTAAAATGAAATATTTGTCTTTGTCATTATTTAAACTGAAAAATGATGCTTTGGAATGTCCTATGAGAGTAAGTCAAAGGTGTTGCAACAAAACAGAAAATTTTATTAAACAAAAATATCAAAATGTGAAGGAACCCTGATGGTTTAGTACCTTACTTGTTGGTCAGCAGTTTGAAAGTTCGTGGGAGAAAGCACTACCAAAGAGGGGCAGTTCTGCCCTGTCCTAGGAGGTCCCTATGAGTCAGAACCAGTAGTAGTGAGTTTTGGGGTTGTTTTTTTTTTTTTTTTTTTATAATGTGAAGCTATTGTTTCTCAGTATGTCCTCCCATCTAGATCATCTATATATTTGTTGGTCAGCAGTTTGAAAGTTCGTGGGAGAAAGCACTACCAAAGAGGGGCAGTTCTGCCCTGTCCTAGGAGGTCCCTATGAGTCAGAACCAG